CTCTTTTCTCTTCTCTCTTCACTCTTCTCAATGTGTTTTGTCACTGTCCCATCTTTTATAGCACTAACCAAACTTGCTGATATTGTAGGTATTATTTTATACCTCTTACCTTCCATTCTACATTTTAACCTCCTTGAGGGCAGAGGCCATGAGTTATAAGTACTAGTATCACCTATAGGACCTCATAGCTGGGAGGTTCTATTTGCCTAACAAATGAGTGTATTTCTTGTGGTGGCAGTGAAAAAAGGGAGAAAAAGTGACATAAGGAAGATAGGTTAGCATTTGTTAACAAAAGATATATCCAGATTGAGTTTTTAATTATCCTGGACCAAAGCCAGGAGATGGATGATGAAGATGGGCAAGGTGTAGGGAGACTTAGCGGAGGATATTCTGAGTGACCAGGGAGGATATTCTAGGCATTAAGCCTCAGCAGGTGCTTTCCTTCCCCTATTGCAGGGGTCCTCAAACTACGGCCCGCGGGCCACATGCAAATACAAATATTGTATTTGTTCCCGTTTTGTTTTTTTACTTCAAAATAAGATATGTGCAGTGTGCATATGAATTTGTTCATAGTTTTTTTTTAAACTGTAGTCCGGCCCTCCAACGGTCTGAGGGACAGTGAACTGGCCCCGTTTAAAAAGTTTGAGGACCCCTGCCCTATTGTCTGGGTTAACCTCGTTTCTGTGCTCCATAACCCCGGGATATGTTCAGACACTGGAGGCCTTGTATGAGCAGGTTCCATGACCAAAGTTGGCCACATTATATTATACCAATACGAAGAAGTTTAGCGGTAAGGTATCAGGAGAGGAAGCCTTAGCATTAATTGACCCCTCTAGTTATGATGTTCATGTTATAAAATCATACCTGAAAGACAGGGCCTTCTCTGAGAGGGGCACATAGGCTGCCATATCAGGTGTGGCATAGGACACAGGCCCCTCGTGAACCCACCGGCATTGAGTTCTGGGCATTATAGAAAAGCCCTGTTGGCTGTGGGTTTGGTCTCTTCTTCTCACAACCTTGGAAATGTTATCACCCTCCTTAAAGGCCGTTCTAATCGCCAGGCATCGCAGTTCATCATCTCCTTAACTCAGGCGAAACCTCAAAGCTGGACTCATTTCTGATCTCTTTTCATAAAGATTAATGGGCATGCAATTTTTTAGCTTCTCTTTTTTTTCCTGTGTCTGGAAACTTGTGATAACAAAAACAACAGTGGCTACAGGCTTGTTTGAAGTTAATTATTTTAAATGAGCAAAGGAGACCAAGCACCTGAGAAGAAAATGGCTCAGGAATTGGAAGGAAAGCAGTATGCCCTGTTCCAGTTGGTTGGTATTTGGCTCTTTCATTTTTCTCCTGGGTACCATAAGTGCCGCTGAGCTCAGAGGACTCGAGCATCCTGTGCGGGGAATAGATGGTGTGTGGAGGAGGTGAGGGGCGCCCGCCGTTGTTCTCTGAATCCTTCAGTAAGCTTCACTTGGCTACATTCTAGAAACAGTCAAAGGCTGGAAAACAAGCTCCACTTGGCCAGCTGCCAGCACACTCCACAAAGCTCAGGAAAAGCTCAGTGAAGCCTCGCACATTTTGTTTTCCTGAGCAAAGACTCTGCTTGTTGCTGTCAGGGTTAAGGAGTTTCAGCAAGTTTATATACAGACAATAAAACGTGCTTTTTTGTATTTTCCTCTGTCACTGAAAAGAGCCCAGTGATAGAATCAGAAAGGATGGGGCACTTAGATGCCAAATGGACCAGTAAGCTCCTGGAGAGGTGTTGGTGCAGTGACAAAATTGTGGGGCGTGTGTGTGTGTGTGCACGTGCGTGTAAAATCTTACCTGAAACCTGATGAAACTAAGCTCAGAAGCGTGGACGTGTGCATTTCAGGATTTCCTACTTTGTCTAAATAGGACAGAATGAACACCATCTTCATCCCTATTAGGAAATGGCTTTATCATGAGGACAATGTAAACACCATGTCAGCTGTGGTGTATGGAGAGACAGGAAGGTAAGGGGGAAGTGACAACAGTGTCAGGACTATCGACAGCTGCAGCGATTCTCTTTTCCCAAAAAAATAACTTTCAGGAGAGAAGTAAAGCGTTTGCTGTTTCTTTGTGAGGGTGATTTGGCTGCTCATTGGAGCAAAAAGGCCATTTATGACCTGGCCGGGCCTTTCCTTGGCCTGACACACCATGTTGTGTTTATTTCAGAGCTGGAGAGTCACACTGAGTGGATAGCAACAGGAAACAAACCCAGAGTCATTGCAATTTGCATCTGCTAGTGCAGTTTTTCTTCAGCTGCTGAACTTTGTTTCTTTTCTAGGGAAAAAACACACCTATTTTTAGCTCTCATATGCTTCTCCAAAAGAAACTGACTACTATCCTTAAGACATTCTACCTTGCTGAAAAGCTTGTAATTTTCTCATTCATGATTAATGTTTTCCTATACTGTCATTTCCCTTAAATTTTAGCCAAAAAAGTGTATATAATTATAGTAAATGGAGATACTAGAACATTGTGTACCAGACAAGTATTTAACAATGCTCTTAGGTGTAGAATAAGAGCATATTTCTCTTTCTATATTCCAGGTTTTCACTTTTATTCTAGTAGGACTAGAAATCAGACTTTCTTTTTAAATATCTGATTGCAATTAAGAATCAACTGATCAAATATGAGTGAGAATAGATTTAGAAATGAATTTAAAAATTATCCTGATGCTAATGGAGACATCTGTGATGATTCCTCTTTTAAAGACCTTCAAAAAAGAAAACCCAACAGCCATGTTTACCTTGAGCTGTCACTTGGTATCTAACAAGGGGAAAAGGTAGAACAAGTAAATTTTAGATTATCTCACTAGAAAGAGGAATATGCTCAAATTCCATGGCCAAGATTGTGACCACTTAACACAGGATAGCATGATTCAAGGTGCCTACACAGTATACATGGTTCCACTTGGGAACCATGCATGTGTATAAAGAAGTTTAAATCAGTTGCTTGAATGGAGTGACAAAGTGGTCCTGCTTCAGCCTGAGGAAACAGCGCCACCTGCTGCTTGAGCTTTAGTTTATGGTTGAGCACTCTAATAGAAACTGATCTTTACAGACCTAAGCACAAAATGTTGGTCTATTGTTATCTTTTAAGATTTACATTGGAGTCAATTTATTGAAATATTTGGTTTTTTATGTGTGTGTGTGTGTGTGCATGTTTTAGTGTATACATTCATATTGAGAACAATTATTAAATAAAAGAATGGGAGAGAGAATAGGAGAGAAAAGAATATAAATATGAAAAAAATGGGAATATAGAGTGTTCCTTCTTGGTGTCTTTTATTCTGAAACTAAGTGATGTTGTCCATTTGCTTTTTTATGTGTAGTAATCACATAAGAATCAATAGATAACCAAGCTTGTTTAAATTGAACCATTTTTCATATTTTATCCTAGTCTGCCCAAAAGTGAGTCTTTTATTAAATGATTACAGATTTATTAGGCTTTCATTGAGTTCCCCTTTCTCTAGTGTTTTTATTCAGAGCATAACACTTAATTGTACAATATTTTAAATAACTCCCAATGTTCCTAATGTATTTTTGTCATAGCATCGCATAAGCATTTACAAGAGCATATCTTTTTATTAAGTTGAGGTCATTAATTACCCTTCCAACCATTTTGGTTTATTTCATTTAGTGTATTATACCACAACATAAATAAGTGACAGTAGACATGGAACAATAGTGATTTTTTTAAATAGTGATTATGATTTTTTTCTCATTCCCTATAACTCTCCCAAGATCTTAACTGCTACTGACCACTGACATTAATTATGGTGAAACTTACGCTTCCATGCTGAGAATCTGTATCATTTCAGATCCTGATTCATAATTAATTTTCAACATACACTCATTTCTTTAAATCTGTCATACTATATATATGTATATATATATGTATATATATATATACATATATATTTATATAAAATTTATTTCAGAGAGGAAGGGAAAGAGATAGAAAGATAAAAACATCAATGATGAGAGAGAATCATTGATTGGCTGCCTCCTGCACATCCCCTACTGGGGGGGGATTTAGCCCAAAACCTGGGCATGTGCCCTTGGCCGGAATCAAACCTGGGACCCTTTAGTCCCCAGGTCAACGCTCTATCCACTGAGCAAAACCAGCTAGGGCAATTTATTTATATTTTAATAGGATGTCACACAACCCAGAATTTGTCCTTTTTGATATTTGTTAGGGCTTTGATTTTCTAACACATTGAAAATCATATCTATGTCACATGCCAAAGTCATAATTTTATAATTGAAACACATTCAAAATCTAGGCACACGAAAAGTACAGAGGGTTCCAATTTTGTATCTTGGTTTGAAGAGCAATCTGCTCAAATTCCAAAAACTGTCAAAAACGTGATTTTCTCATGCTTGTCCTTATCTTGAAAGGCTTTTGTTACATGTTTTTTAACATTCAATGAAAACTGATTGAAAACCTGTCATATGTTAGACACTATAGTAAGTTCTGGAGGTTTGGTAATTAAAAAATCAATCCCTTGTCCTCAGTGAGCTCCCTTTCTTGCTGAGCAATAGTGCATAGATAGTTCTAGAACAGTGACCGAAAGTTGCTATGGGCAGGAAAAGAAGTGGAACTCAACTCAAACTTTGGTAAGTGGATTATGTGACTTATGCTAGTTAGGGGGAAATCCTGAATTGAGCCTACAGGTAAACTAAAGTGTTTGTCAGGAAAGGAAGTAGAGGAAGGGTGTTCCAGGTGGAGACAAGATTTGCAGAGACACTGAGATGAAAGAGGACAAGTATTAGGAAATGTGTTGTTCAGTTCACTAAGACTGTTCATCCGGCGTTCAGAGGAGATATTTCAATTGGAGATCTTCAAATCTAAGCTTTGTGAATCTTTAGTAATATGTATAACTTGACTGAGAAAAACAACAAATGGGCTCTATCTTGCAAGACCTTCCATCACTTATCCCACTGTTTTTATACCCCTTTTTCCCCTCCCAGAGGACTGGTATGAACAGCTGTACCCCCTCATCCTTACCCTGAAGGACTGCATGGGGGAAGTGGTGAACCGAGCCAAGCAATCCCTGACCTTCGTACTCCTTCAGGAACTGGCCTACAGCTTGCCCCAGTGTCTGATGCTGACTCTGAGACGGGACATCGTCTTCAGCCAAGCAGTAGGTGCCCCTTGTGTTGTGAGCACAGCACCATGCTGGGTTGTTCGCTGCTATCATTGGTGAAGACAGGGGTCTCCCCTGGGCAGTTTTATTTTTAAAGGGATTCTTTCCTGATAGTTTTGGTACCCAGTTTTTCTTATTCATAACTAGAGACCTGGTGCATGAATCTGTGCACCGGTGCGGTCCCTCGGCCTGACCTGCATGCACCCTCTTGCAATCCGGGACCCCTCAGGGGATGTCAGAGAGGAGGTTTCAGCCTGATTCCTGCAGACCAGGTCAAGGGACCCAACTAGTGCATGAATCCGTGCACCAGGCCTCTAGTATGCATATAAGATCTTTGGTTAATCTCTTACTGCCCTCCCCCCTCCCCTCTTCCCTCTGAGATTCATCAGTCTGTTCCATGTTTCCATGCCTGTGCATTGAGCCCACTCGTGGTCATTGCGCATCATAGCTACTGGCCAGTTGGCCGGTCACTTAGGCTTTTAGATAGATAGATGGATAGATAGATAGATAGATAGATAGATAGATAGATAGATAGATAGATAGATGTAGATGTAGATATAGATATAGATATAGATATAGATATAGATATAGATATAGATATAGATATAGATATGAACCAAACAGTTTATAAGATCTTAGTATTTATTTCTTCAGAGGTGGCCAAGTCTCTGAAAGGTAGATGTAGAAATTTCAGAAAAGAGAGTCTGTGAAGGAAAGGGTCACCCATGCTGTCATTGTATCATACCTTGGGGTCTCTGTACAGAGCACAGTGGAAGGAAAGGGATAGTGGCCAGCTAGGACTGGCAAAGGGGCCTATTTGCAACCCACTATTTATACAGCTCCTTCATGGATTCCAGGATGGGGCCTCATTATGGTCTCTTGTTTAGTTTAGAAAATAAATTTGCCAGCAGGAAGGCTTGAACAGGAGGTTTGACAGGAGCACCTCCTTTGCCTACACCCAACCAGATTCCATGACACCAAGACTGGCTTCCATCACAGTGGCTATGCAGGGGCCTTCTTCTCCCCCTCCTCCCTCCGCCCCATGAGTTTTATAGACAGCCACAGGGAGGGAGAGAGACAGAAGGCCTCTCTTTCTAAACATTTAAGACCAATGGAGTATTTTAACCAAACTGCCCCTGTCATGGATGCTCCAGTGACAAATGGAGCTATGTGCTCTGAGTGATACACATTTCCTCATTGAGTATTTTCAATGATTCTATGAAATGAGTAGTCTTCTATTCTGTATGTGCAAAAAGTATTTTTTAAAATAATAATATGTGTACATTTTAAATAACTTCTAATTGTCTTACTGCTGGAAATGGTAGAGACAGGATTTGTAGTCATGTCAACCTGATTCAGAGCCCATGCTCTTTCCTCTTTCACAATGCCGCCTGCCCCAGCCTTACTTGATCAAAGACTGCCAACTGGTTTCAACATAGATATATAAATAGAGTTTTGTTAAATGTACTTGAGATTTTTTAATTAAATCTCTGATGCCTCAGAAGTCTTCAATATTTTTAAATTAAAGTTCGCTGACCCCCATCAATTTCTTCAATGATTTTTTTTTTAGCTTGCTGGATTGGTCTGTGGTTTTATCATCAAATTACACACAAGTTTGCATGACCCTGGCTTCCTACAGCAGCTTCACACGGTGGGATTGATAGTACAATATGAAGGACTGTTAAGTACATACAGTGAGTATGGATGGTTGGTACATGTGAAAGTCATACTCCTATTCATAGGATATTTGGTCCTTGGATTCCTCAGTTAAACATAAAAATGAAAGTAAAACTTTATTGCATTAAAGCATTCCAGAAGTAATGTAACTTTTCATTCCTTGCATTCACTTTGTAACTGTACTCCCCTCCATTATGTTATGAAAATAGAATTATAAATTATTTCATAGTGGAGACCTAAGCAGCTATCTGGCTTTTTAATAGAAAAGGCTCTTTGCCAACGTAGTTTCAAGAACTGGATTTTTAAAGTCCAACCCTCTAATACCTAGAACTGCACTGTTCAATTCGTAGCCTGGTATGGCTATTGAGCACTTGAAATTTATCTAGTTCAAATCAGTATGTATAAGACACGTATACCAGATTTAACAACTAGTTTAAAAGAAGAGTTTTATATTAATAACTAATTATTTATTTTGATTATATCGATTTATCAATGGAATTATATTTTAGAGATATTGAGTTAAAATAAAATATATTATTAAAATGAATTTAACCTTTTTATTTTAATCTTTTAAAATATGACTACTGAGCCCTGGCTGGGCAGCTCAGTTGATTAGAGCATCCTCCTAATATGCCAAGGTTGTGGTTTGATTCCCCAGTCAGAGCACATACAAGAATCAAACAACGAATGCATAAATAAGTGGAATGACAAATTGATGTTTTTCTGTCTCTCTGTCTCTCTTTCTTTTCCTCTCTCTCTGAAATTAATAAATAAAAAGATTTCTGACTCTCAGAAAATGGAAAATTACATATGTGGCTCACATTCTATTTCTATTGGGCAGTGCTGATTAGAATGGTACTTGATTACCTCCTCCTTAGGCTTTATTTGCCAGTGTATTGAGATATAAAACTAGCATGAGCCTAGGTAGGATCTTCAATTCAGCCATTTCTCTTATTTCTAGAAATCAAAGATCAGTCCTGCCAATGGAAAGAAACTGCAGGACACTTTGTTTCATAGAACAGTCAAAACATCGCTGCTGCCTCCGAGCAAATGAGCACATTCTTTCTTCCCTCAAAGGGCCCGTGAACTGCTGGAGTCCGTTGACATGGCTCTTATTTCACTGATGAAAACTTTCAGCCTCTGAGGAAAAGCATTGAGAATGGATTCGTTTCATTCAGAAACTCCTTTACTAAAATGCTAGAACAAATCCCAGCAGTGAGGTAGACTATCCAGGGACACTTTCTTCAAATAGAGTGCTTGTGCCTGGCTGGTGTGGCTCAGTGGTTGAGCATCAACCAATGAACCAGGAGGTCACGGTTCAATTCCCAGTCAGGGCACAAGCCTGGGTTACAGGCTCAATCCCTAGTAGGGGGTGTGAAGAAGGCAGCCAATCAATGATTCTCTCTCATCATTGATGTTTCTATTTCTCTTTCCCTCTTCCTTCCTCTCTGAAATCAATAAAAATATATTTTTTAAAAATATATTATACTTGTAACCAGGCTCCTTTCTCTCATTTAGGTGATGAAATCGGAATGCTGGAGGACATGGCTGTTGGCATTTCAGACTTGAAGAAAGTTGCATTTAAAATAATTGAAGCCAAATCCAATGATGTGTTGCCAGTTATAACAGGGAGACGGTAAGTGGTGCCCATTTCCTAAAGACCAAGCTTTGTTAGATATTTGAATTGGCTCTTGATGAAGGAGCTGAGGAGAAGTAAGGTTTGCTCTGGAATTTTTTTTTCTCTTTCCCTTGTTGGTGAGAAATAAATGTAGGTGACATGATAGGGGAAGATCTTTAAAAACTCCTAGAAGTCTCCTGACTGTAAATTGTACTGTAGTGAGGTGAGTATGGCATTGCTTCTCTGTGAAATATGAGGACTTCAAAATACCAGCTTGCATGAAGAGAATATTTTCCTCTTTATTACTATCCAGTATAAAGCTCTGGATATTTTTACGTTTGCTAGAATCATTTGGTTAATAGCATCATAATTCTTGAGATGACTTCATATTAAATTCTGTTAAAGGCAGCAACATTTTAGAAAAGATGTATTTATATATCAGGGGCATATGCCACCATTTTTCTTAATTATTTTTGACAATTCACTCCCAGACTGAGATTTCTGAGAATGGCTTTAAATAAATAGCTTCGAAGGTCAGCATATGATAGGCAGAATATCAGAAATAATTAAGAAGATGATGCTGTGTGGTATAGAGCTCCAACAGAAAAATTATATCCTATGGTAAATCATTTCAATCAGAAGTCCTCCAAGTTTTAACCATTCTGCTGTTAGCACTTTTCTATGCTTCCTGATGGTATTTGAAATTTGAAAACATTTTCTGAGCACAGTGAATAAATATGAGGGTACTATAACAGAGAAAGTCCTGCTCATGTTAGAGAGAGATGAAGAGGAGACTAAGTAAGTTCAAGCTAATCTTGTTTTCTTGACTTTAGTAAACGTCTGATAATTTTGCGTGATGGATGACTTGAGGTGGTTGAATGAAAGGTGGCTACTTATACATAAAGAAACAGCACATTCTCATAAAACTAAATATTTCATGTGCCAACTAATGCTTAATTTACCATTCATTGGAAGAAAGAGGAGTAAAATTGCTCATGCATATACCTGGAAAATAGTACCACTCTATAATACTTTAAAGATTATTATCAAAAGGGAGAAACAGATATTTTTATCACAATGTATGAGGGGAGCTTACCAGGCCATTTTATATAGACAGAGTACAGGATGCTGTTTCTGAGGGGATTCTTCAGGCTGTATCTCAATTCAGAAGTCATCATACAGATGTGGACTTCTAGAATGGCTAAGTGCACAGCTGGGCAGATCCTCTCTTCAGAAAGCAACATTACAAATGGACTGAATTGTCTAAGATGGTCCTCTTAGGACTAAGGGAATAATGCACACACAAATTTAGAAGCATTCATTGATGGAAAACTCGTGAGCATTGGGATAAGACAGTTGGAGTCTGTGACCTTGTTGGCAGGTTGCTTCCTGCAACCTCAGCTCTATTTGCACATTACCAGAGGAAGATAGCCCATGAAAACCAGCAGTTTCATTACCAGAGGAGGGGGCTGACAATTCGGATTGGATAGCAGAAAAAAGTACACTCCTGAAAAGTTGTCAGAAACAGTGGTGATTTAGATCATTTTATTCACAACAGCATGAAAAAGGAATAATTACATGGGACTCAATTCAACCAGTACTCCAAGAACTGTACACAGAATACACAAAACATTGCTTAGAGAAATTAATAAGATTCAATAAGTGGAAAGACAGTCCATGCTCACAAATTAGAATTCTCAATATTGTTTAGATGGCAATTCTCCACAACTTGAAATCTCGGTTGAATTTTTTTGTAGAAATTGGCAATCTAATTCTAAAGTTTACATGAAAATACAAAGAACCCATAAAACCAAGAACACTTTTATAAAAGAACAAACCTGGAGGACTTATACTTTCTGTTTTCAAAACTAACTATAAAGCTACAAAAATCAAGACCATGTAGTACTGGCATAAGTATATACGTATAGATCAGTGGAACAGAATGTAGAGTCTAGAAATAAAGTATTACCTTTAGGGTCAGTCAATTTCAACAAAGGTGCCAAAACAAATCAATGGAGAATCTTTTCCAAAAATGTTGCTGCGATAATTGGTTAGCCACATGCATAGGAGAAACTACAGAGATTTCACAAAGAGATCCTTTGATTGTCCTGTGCTTGTTTTCCAAATACATGTATTACAATCCCAGCAGTCTATATAGTTCTGGAATCATATGGATTTTTCTAAATTCTGGGTAAAACTATATTTCTATATTCAATTCACACTGCATCAGAAGATGTCAAGTTTCAAAACATACAAGTAGATATTCATGGTGACCATATTTTATTAATCCTAATTTAAATTTTCAACACTAAACACTACGAGTAGTGTTTTTGTGGGGTTTTTTGTTTTTTTAATGTTTATTGTTGAAAGTATTACATATGTCTGCTTTTTTTCCCCACTGACCCCTTCTAGCCTTCCCTGCCCCTGCCCCAGGCCTTCACCACACTATTGTCTGTATCCATGGGTTATGCATATATGCATACAAGTTTTTGGTTGATTTCTTCCTACCCACCTTCTGAGATTCGACAGTCTGTTAGGAGTATTTTTTAATGGAAATTTCCAATTTCCAAAAATATCCACCTGTGATATGCTAATGTTGCAAAATGATAAGGAACTCCCAACGGTTTGCCTTAAATAATGAAACTATTGCATTTGCATCAGGCCATCACAAAGAGGGAGGTTCATCAATAATATCAGGCCATAATTGTTAAAAATGTTATAAATTATTCGGCTTCTTAGATTCACTATATTAAGAAATGTATCATGAATTACTTTGTTGTTCTTGCTATCAGTTGGTTTTTTAAAATAACTAAATCAATAAAACAAATATTGAGGTTCTTATGCACATACCACTGATACACAACAATGAACTGAAACTTTCTTCCTTTCCTACCGGAACTCGGAACAATGGACAGAAATCAAACATGTAAACAATCCTTTATGCCAAGTAATTTAGTACAGAAGTGAATGAAATGAGTATTGAATGAATTAATAACAGAAAATAAGCAGATAGCAGCCACAAACCTAAATCAGTGCTATATTCCAACTGTTTTATTGTTTGTTTCCAATGAATCTAAAATAACATAAAAACGAATGAAATAAGCAATACTTCCTCTCTTTGTCCTTCACTTGCTTCAGTGAACATTACGTGGTGGAGGTGAAGCTTCCAGCGAGGATGTTTGAGACTCTACCTCTGCAGATCAAAGAAGGGCAGTTACTGCATGTACATCCCGTACTTTTTAACGTCGGAATCAATGAACAGCAAACTCTTGCTGAGAGGTAAGCGTCAGGTATAAGATTGATATTCAGGTTTTCTTTCTATTTATTTTTTAATTTCTTTTTAATTACAGTTTATATTAAATATTATTTGGTATTGGTTTCAAGTGTACTAGAATAGCAGTTAGACAATCAGATATTTTAGAACTAGTGTTTGCCCTGATATTTCCAGTACCTGCCTGGCACCATGCTAAGTTGTTACAATATTACTAACTATATTCCCTATGCTGTACTTTACATCCCCATGATTATTTTCTAACTACCAATCTGTACTTCTCAATCCTTTCATCTTTTTCACTCAGTCTCCCAACCCCCTTCCCACTGGCAACGCTCAGTATGGTCTCTGTATGAGTCTGTTTCTGTTAGAGAGAGAAGTAGGTTTTTAGTTTAAACCAGGGGTGGGGAATCTCTGGCCCATGGGCCATAGAAGGCCTGTAAAATCATTTGGTTGGACCCTGCCAAGGCATTAGGGGTGAGTTAATTAAATGTTCGACCAAATATAGCGGGCTAATTTTTAAGTTGAGATTGTGGTATGACTCTCGAATGATGTTATAAATATCTAAATGGCCTTTGGCAGAAAACAGGTTCCCAACCCCTAATTTAAACCTAGGAAATGCTTATTGAAAACATAAGATATGTAATATACATGTAGAAAGTTTTATCTTGAGAAAAAGGCAGAAGTGCACCAGTGCAGAGGGTGTAGGCCTTCATGGTATGGACAGAAAAAAATACTGGCGGAACTACTCCCTGAGAGGTTGGAGGGCTGTGCATGTGCCCTTGTCAGTGTGTATCCTATCTAATAAAAGACAAAAAGGGTAATTAACCGTACCTTCGCTACACTTCCCATTGGCTAATCAGGGTGATATGCAAATTAACTGCCAACAAAGATGGCAGCCGGCAGCCACGCAGCTGAAGCGAACAGGAGGCTTGCTTGCTCCAGTGATGGAGGAAGCCAAGGTTCCCCGCCTGCTGCAGCCCGGCTCTGAGCCCGAAAGCAACAATGTTTCAATTATAGAAGCTAAACAAACCACCGATACCTGCTTTCAGCCGGCCGTGGCATCAGAGCTGGGAGCGCCAGTGATGGCAACAATGTTTCAATTATAGAAGGTAAATAAATCCCAGAATAAAAAAAAAAAAGAAAAAAAGGAGAGGCTGGGAGCTTCAGTCCCGGCCAGCCTGAAAACGGCCCTCAGCCCCTCACCCAGACTGGCCAGGCACCCAAGCGGGACCCCCACGCTGATCCAGGACACCCTTCAAGGCAAACCAGCCAGACCCCACCCGTGCACCAGGCCTCCATTCTATATAGTAAAAGGGTAATATGCAAACTGACCCTAACAGCAGAACAACTGGGAATGACTGGTCACTATGACACACACTGACCACCAGGGGGCAGACGCTCAATGCAGGAGCTGCCCTCTGGTGGTCAGTGCGCTCTCACATGGGGGAGCTCTGCTCAGCCACAAGCCAGGCTGAAGGCTGCCAGTACAGAGGTGGTAGTGGGAGCCTCTCCTGCCTCCTCAGCAGCGCTAAGGATGTCTGACTGCAGCTTAGGTCTGCTCCCGCTGGCAAGTGGACATCCCCTGAGGGCTGTCGGGCTGCCAGAGGGATGTCTGATTGCCATCTTAGGCCCAATCCCCGGGGAAGCAGGCCTAAGCCAGCAGGTGGTCATCCCCCAAGGGGTCCCAGACTGTGAGAGAGCACAGGCCAGGCTGAGGGACCCCTCCCCCCCCACCGAGTGCACCAATTTTTGTGTACCGGGCCTCTAGTAAGTCTATATGCAGCCTAGAGTCCAGTCCTGGACCTCTCCTCAAGTCTCATGGTGAAGAGGAAGATTGGAGGGATAAAAAGAGAGAAGAAAGTTATCTATGTCTCAGAGATGTAGTCCTGCAGAGGTGGGAAGACCAACATTAAGTGAATATCAGTTATGTACAAGTACAGGGGCTGGTGTTTTAGACTTGATGTTTCATTCAAGTTTATATTTGGTGATTATGAAAATATTTTGGTGTGTCAAGGGGATTGGTGGAATGACTCAGGGCCAGTGGTGACTGGGATGTGTTTGAAATCACTATTGTGCAACATTTTCTGGAAAAAAAAAAAAAGGAGACTCCTGCCCTGGCCAGTGTGGCTCGGTTGGTTGAACATTGTCCTGTGTACCATGACATTGCTGATCGGATTCCATGCCCATGCTGTGGGTTCCATCCCCAGTAGGGGTCATGCAGGAGGCCTTGGTCAAGGTGAAGCTCCACATCAGTATTTCTCTCTCTTCGCCCTTCCTCTCTCTAAAAAAAATAAAATAAAATAAAGGAGAGTCCTTAGGCAACTGTAGCCATCTATTTTAAAAGGAAAGATGAAATGTGTTCCTTTCAGGTGCTATTTTATGACTTATTACTGTTTTCTTTTTTCTCTTTTTAGGTTTGGAGATGTTTCTTTGCAAGAAAGTATTAATCAGGAAAATTTTGAACTTCTAAAAGAATATTACACGATATTTATGGAAAAGATGCCTCCTGATTGTAAGTCTGAGAGTTATAGAAAACAATAATAATTGCTTGATTATAAATCTTCAGGAGAGGTCGGATATAGAGGTCAATGGAAGAAAGAAGCAGGTGCTGGTGATGTGAGAGCAATTTTGAGATTCTCTGAACCAACATAGCTGATTGGCAAGGTGGCATGGTCCACACCTGCCTCGTTACCCTGGTTGCTCTCTTGAATGTGTCCGGCTGGTCATGCCAGGACAGTGATGGCGAACCTTTTGAGCTCAGCGTGTCAGCATTTTGAAAAACCCTAACTTAACTCAGGTGCCCTGTCACATATAGAAATTTTTTGATATTTGCAACCAAAATAAAACAAAGACATATTTTTGATATTTATTTTATATACTTAAATGCCATTTAACAAAGAAAAATCAACCAAAAAAATGAGTTTATGTGTCACCTCTGACACGCGTGTTATAGGTTCGCCATCACTGTGCTAGGACATTGTCAGTGCCACTGGACAATACCAAAAGTAAAAATAAGAAACTTATCATTAGAAATCTCAGTTGAGTCCAATAGAAATTTTGTGTCATTCTTAACCATGTAAAAGACTTTAGTAAAGGTTTAGGTTTTTTATTTATAAGCTACATCAGATGCATCATGCATATCCAAGGAGAAAATCAGATAGAATACAACTTCTGTAGGGGATATAAAGTGATATAAAATAAGGAACCAGTTTATCACATATACTTATTGCAATATTTATGTGAAAAACTATTAAGGCATCTAAGTCTATAGAAATATGTTTTACACCTGTGGATTCTTCTTTTATTTTCCCTCCCTCCCTCTCTTCCTTCCTTCCTCTCTCTCTTTCTTTCTTTCTTTCTTTCTTTCTTTCTTTCTTTCTTTCTTTCTTTCTTTCTTTCTTTCTTTCTTTCTTTCTTTCTCTTTTCCTAAGAATGGAAAAGCCATGTCCTGTAAATCTTTGCTGTCTTCATCTGAATCGAGAAGTAAATATCTGAAATTGGTGCCGGAACTGTTGACAGCCGGGAAGTCTGTTGGCTCTATCTGGGTACTATGTGCTGTGGATTTCTCCTTCCACATCTTTGGATAGTGATGTAGCTCTCAGACGGTTGTTCTCTCTGCCTTGACTCTAAGGCACACTAAACCATCAGGATGTACTTCCCTTCACATCCTACCTGGCCTCTTTGACCAACTGCAGAGACTCTGGTGGGGCAGATCTGATGCTTCTCTCTCTTCTTGCTCTGATCCTCCCATTGGGTTGCATGACCTCAGAAACCTTTCAAGGCCCCTTTCATGCCCACCTAGATCATTGAGACACCTAAATTTGGGGTTAGCAAATAATAAAATAAAATAAAGCACTTCTATAAATCACTAGCACAAACAATTCCATGTTTTAGAGTCACCATCACATTTGCTATATGATTTGGAGCAAATGTGATAGTGATTTGGTTGGACGAAATGCTTCTTTCTCTATCCTTTAAATGAGGAGTAAGCAAGTATTAGTTTATCATCTCAGACCTCTCTCTTGTCTCTTGATAATGTCCATTTCTTGCACTTTTCCCAAACAAAGGAGAAGGGTATTGTCATCCAGGTCTATTGGAATGCTTCCACTAGTTGAGTCCTGTGTCAGCCCTATAAGGGAGGGCTGCCTGGCCCTGTGAGCTAAGAAGGAAAAACACCCAGGGCCCTTTGTGAGCTGAATATTGTAAACTATCTTTACAATATTTCATATCCCTGTCCAATATATAATGGGTTTAGTGGCTCTGCAATATTAAAATGATTTCCCCCACCCCATTTCATCCCTCTGCTACTCCTAGTGTTGACACTGTCCCTTTGTGACTCAAGGATGGCTGCCGTGAACTATTCCCATCCTCAACCAAAGAGCTTTTCTTCCCCTTTGCGTTTTACAGAGTCCTGAGCCTCCCTCACCTGGAACATCACAGATCACTTGCATCCATACCCCTGCAACAATTGCCCAGGTCAGAGTCAAGTTCTGACTGGCTTAGATTTAGATGCACATCCCTGAACTAGTCCTGATTTCAAGGGTGATGGAATTGTATCGATTGACTTCAGAGTGAGAACGTGATTGATCCCAAGTAGATTTTATGCCTGCTATGCAGTGGGAAGTGAGTGGAACAGGTGCTGGGATTCATTTCCATTTCATCTGAGACTCTGACAACTTAAAATAATTGACAATGAGGGGATGGATGAGGCTATTGCCTTGGCCTCATTAGTGTTACAGTTCGATCAGCTGAGAGTTCACAGTCCTATTCCTGTTCATCACTCAACACCCTGTCTTTGATTCAGGTCAATGTCCGATTCAGAACTCTTGTTGAAGAAGCCCCATTTGACGAAACAAGGAGAAAGGGTGTACTCCAAAGTGCATGTGTACTTGGCTGTTCTGTTCCATTGGGAGGCGGTGGGAGTCAGTCTCTGGTTTTGTGAATGTTCTTGATCGTGATCTCTGTGCACCTGTGTATGTGTAAGAGAACATTTTCTACTTTGGATAAATTCTGAGAAGCTTGGCATCCTATCCGAGGCTACGAACTCTCTTAAGAGCTATGAATGTCTTCCTCTGTTTTTCAGAGTTGACACAGAATTTAATGATGTAGCCTCTTCTGCCAAGACTTTTATTAATTGTTTTCCACTGCAAGTCAATTAAACTTGACAGGGTTCTTGTCCTTATTTTGCAGTTGAGAAAATAGGGACAGAGGGTTAAGCAACTTGCCCAAGACCACACATCAAAGTTGGAGTAAGATTTGGCACTAGAAATCACTTTTCTAGAATTTTGGCTGGGTGCTTTCTTTAAAAACAATTATGAAAGTTTCAATCAAACAAACAAAAAACAGATCATCAAATAACAAACACTAGGGAACTTGTCCTTCAGCCTCACAGATTTTGTAGGAAAGAAATATTTTCAGTTAAAGGGGAAGCCCTGTCTGGTTTCCATCTCTAACCCTCCTGCCTCTGAGCAAATCAATACCCTGAATTTGGTGTTCTGCCTTCTCATACACTTTCTTACTCCAAATGTATGCAACCATAGAAAATATGGTACAGCTTTGCACATTTAACTTTATATTATTGCTGTTATCTTATATGAATCCTGCTATAATTTGCAGTTTTTACTCAACATGTTTTGTATATATTTATGATGTTACATACAGCATTTATTTATTTTACCTATATATTACATTGCAGCACGATGTAACAGTTTACTGTTCTCTCTTTGAAATTTAAATTTTTAAAAAATATTAAACAAAGCAATGAACATTTTTGTACTTTCACCTTTTTTATTACATTATTCAACCCCATTTGAATAAATGATATTCCTATGGAGATAGGCATAGAGATTAGTTGCTCTAAGTTTGTTGTTAGAGGAATGCAGGAGTGAGGAGCAAAAAGCAAAACTTATTGGCTATATTTACATTTTAGGAGACTGATTTTCAGACTAAAACCAATCTATGTTCTATTGGCACCATGATTTTCAGTGGCTATGTAAGGCTCTATCATTATATCTTGAAAGCTCATCTATTAATCTACAAACTAGTCATTACTTATGATACTTCTTTCAAGAACCAGATCTGAGTTTCTGTGGCCTGCAAGATTTTTGTCATGTTGAAAAAAACTTGGCAGCAAGTAAAGTGTTGGATTGATATGGATGTGCTCTGAATAAGGCAAGTTTTGTCATGACAGACATGGAAATAGTGACTTGAAACTGTAAGCACATCAAAATGATCCCTTCTAAAAAACATGCAATGGGGAGAGGGGGTGAAATTACAAGGAATATCATGTCTGTCTATGCTAGAGCACTATCCTTATGGGCAAAGGATAGCCATTTGGTTTATATTTAGGAGCTGTATAGGTGGTTTAAAATGGCTGATTAAAAATATCTCCATGTCAACAATGAAACTAAATTATTTTGAAAAATCATTATGCTTTATTCTGGAGTCTCAGAATTCTGAAGAAGCTGGTCCATTGTGTTAAGATGATTGCTTTTTAATACCCATAGTTAATTGTGAAGACACTAGCACAGATTTGGGGAAAATTAATTACTGGCATAGGAGTTGGGAGACTAGGTTTTTTATTTGACTCTGCCTCTGACTGTGAACCTTGTGAAAAAAATCTCCTAAGAATCTTGACATGAGGTTGCCTTAAATCAGTGTTTTTGCAGGATATTTATATTTACCCCATCTAGTCTCTTGATTCAGACTAGCTATTCAGTAATAAAAAATGGAAGGTTATATCCATCTATGCCATGCTATGATTGAAGCAGTCATCATCATTACGAATGTTTTTCTTGCCCTGGTCGGTGTGGCTCAGTTGGTTGGTGCTTCATCCCATACACCAAGAGGTGGTGGGTTTGATTCCTGATTGGTGTTTCTCTCTCCCTCTCCCTTATTCTTTCTCTCAAATCAATTTTTTTAAAAAGAATGTTTTTCTTGTTAGTATGCAATGGTTCTCAACCTGTGGGTCACGAACAATGAAAATATATCCTGCATATCAGATATTTACATTATGATTCATAACAGTAGCAAAATTACAGTTATGAAGTAGCAACAAAAATAATTTTATGGTTGGGGGTCACCACAACATGAGGAACTGCATTAAAGTGTCGCAGCATTAGGAAGGTTGAGAACCACTGGTATTATATGAGACTAGTTGACATTACCACAATTACACAGAATAGGGAAACCGAGTCATGTGTCTAAATAAAGAATAAAACTAGAGGATTAATAAGTATGATTATCCTTACATAGTCTGCTCCAAATAACACCACTTGTTGTCATCGATTGCATTTGCAAATATATTGAGGAAAATTTTGTGAGCAGCTTAATACTGTTTCTTTTTCTTCTCCTTTTTTCAGACATTTCACATTTTCATGAACAAAATGATTTAAAAGGATTATTAGAAAATCTCCATCAAAATATCCAAGCCAAAAAGAGGAAGAATGTAGAAATCATGTGGCTAGCTGCAACGGTAAGCACTGTCCTGTTAGACCTTACTCACTGTCACCGTGAGGACCAGCAATCAATATTGGGTGTCTACTCGATAGGGCCCAACATTTGCACTCTGAGTTACCAGATGTCATCTTCCATTGTCTAGGAGATAAAGCATTGTCATAGTGCTATCAGTAGACTAGAACACAAATTGGAACAAGATAAACTCAATGAGAAAGAATCCTTCTCATTGGCTTTTCTCACAAATCTTGGATATGTTTGACACTTGGAGGTTAGAAGGAAGTGTCTTCAATTTTCTTGATGTTGCATGTTTCAGCCCATCTCATGCTCTAGAGACTTATGATTTCAACAGAATGTAGTTATCAGATCTCTGACTTAAAGCCTCAGTAAGGCTCCTGGACATATTATTCAATTAATGAGTTTGTAAATGTGTTTGCTAATTTAGATATTGGCATAGAATGTATTACTGGCAGATTGCTCTCAGGGTAATGAGCTATATATGGTATGGTTCTTTCTCAGTTAATGACACCCTCAGGGTAGAAGATCTTCCTGCTTTCCCACCCCAGATTTCTACAAGAGTGAGCAAGAGCATCTTGCCTGTGGTTTGCAAGCTCTTATCTGACAACCATTTCAGGCATAGCTCAGATAATCTTACAAGTTTTGCTAAACATTCAGACCCTAAGGAATGGATCTTTTCATTAGGAAAGGCAAACGTTGGAGCTCTCGATGATGAATTCCATGTGTGTAGTTATTCTCAGCATTACTCTTGTAATTTGGAGTTAGGTTAACCCAACTGCTAGCATACTCTATTCATTTGCTATCAATAGTGTTTCAGACAGAGCCTTTCCCCCTACTGTCAGTGCTTACTTTATAATCCAATATTATTTCCTCTCTTCTGTAGAAAAGGAATGGATAATTTACCATAAGTTGAAAGATAAAATAACTTACCAAGAGCAAGGCAGAGGAAAGCAGCTTTAGTTTCCCTTCATGCCCCCTTAGAGCCCCAGGGAAGAACATCAAAGGTAACAATATGAAACATGGCTTTCAGGCGGCTCATTTACACTGGTCCCATTTAGCACCATAGTGCTTTACAGGAAGGTTGTTTTAATAGTTTTTCCCCAGTGTGACTGCTCTTTATATCTTCAAACACTACTATGCTTATTAATTCTCACAAAAATTTCACAAAGGCAGATTGTAAGTTATTTTTGCTCTTTCCCTAATAACATGGTAGCTTGAAGGAAGTCTGATCATTTACCAAGGCTATCTGGCAACTTGGGGACAGATACATGTCATTATATACATACCATGCAATTATGTAAATAGGAAAGTGAAGGATGCACACATGCAAACACAAATGTATATTTTTTCTTAGTGTATGTACTTTCCCATTTGAATATATAAAAACGTTTTCCCATTAATTCCATTCATTTCTGAAATACTGTTCTAAAATTCATATACTGGCCAAATGTGGCTTACTCACAACTTCCCTTTGTGTGAAAGTACCTGTCTTGATGAATACACATATGCACAGTGTGGAAATTTGGCATTCTGTGGGAATATTAACTTTATTATTAATAGCATATCTGTAGGCTGATACCTCAGTTTCAATATCCTGTAAACCAAGGCCCATGATAATACTCTTAAAATGAAGAAATATAGAAATCCCTTTTGACATTTTCAAAAAAGCTTTTACTTCTGCTTCTATTTCCTTTCCCCTTCTATAAATCTATTGATGAAAATACTGCTTTTGATAAGCTTTAACATTCTAATTGAAAAAGATAAAGCTTTTGGTTTTATCTTAACTACATTTTAAAAAATAAAAATGAGAATCTGAAGATCAAATGCCAATCAGATATGTTAAATTAACCTCATATAATTAAAAAGTGTTGTAAAAATGCAGCCTGTCTACTCTGATGAAATGGCCCTGCTTCCTTTCAATTTTAAATTTAGAACACTCAGTATTCTTAGTAGGATGTCACAAATAATAGTGATAATATAGTATTTGAAAATTCATTCTTTTAAAAAATCATATCTGATAAGTAGATAGCAAGATTTATATTTTATTACCATGAATATAGCCCAACCTTTGTTATTTTATATTAAATTTTTTGAAATACTATTTATTTGAATGGATTGGAATTCTCTAGATGGAAAATTATTATATGGTAAAGTCATGCTTTCACAGTTCTCTAGTCACTTTTACTGGAAATAATGAGAAAGTACCAAATAAGGTACTGGTAAATAATAAGGACTGGTAAATCCTAGGCTAAGAATCACCATTAAAATATGGTATAAAACCTTGATAAACTGTATTATTATATCCTCTTCTCAAAACAGTTAAGGCAACTGTGAAGGCCTCCTTGATGGCAGATAATAAAGCAGGCCTGTATTATGTCAGATTTATGTTAACTACATGTTGATGCTAAAGTTGATCGTTGGTATCTGGTATCAGGGCTCTACCAAGGGATATGGAAGAGAAAAGAATGGAATGATTCACCTGTTAACCATGAGGTGATGAGAAAAGAGATTAATGCTTCTCCTGATTTATGGCAGAATAGCAAAAAGAAGGAATTACAGATAAACACAGAATAGAATGGAAGTTAAAGACTTGATTCTTAGAGTTAGGTGGACTTACATTAACATCCTGGCTGGACAGTGTTGTACACAAGTTACTTAACCTCTCCAAACCTTGATGTCCTTGCCTGTAAAATGAGAATAATTATACCTTCCTCCAGGGTTCATGTGCAGTTAATTAAATTTCAAACCTATATGAAATGTATTAGCAGGGCACCGGTACACAGTAGATGTGCAATTAGCAGTGGCTATTTTTTTGGGGGGAAGGGGAGGTGTCCTTATTCTTATTAGTTGTATTGATAAGTGGTTAGTATGATTCACTAAGTGGTTAGAGGTTCCCTCATCTGCTGTGCTGGTACCATGTAGATGTTTGAAATTTTCTAACATTAAGACCAAGACTAGCAAAGGTTGCTTAAGTTGTCCTAAGTAAGACAACATTAGTTATTTAGGATTCAAATCAAGTGTCTGAGCCCCTTCACAATTAAGGTGTTGTTCCTAAGCTGTGATCATTAGGGTTATCCACTGCAGCTGGGCCCCTTCCAGGGAGCATTGCTGCCCCTGCTGGATATTGACCACCCATGTGGTTTCAACAGTCCCACGCCTCACACCATACAAACTACATAAAATCTGTTACACTGGCTTTTGAAACGACCAGCTGTGGTTTTACATTCAATAGGGCAGATCGAACCAACCGTAACTATCACATATTAACATAAATTTAGTGTGTTGAGACAAGAAGAGTTTAGGAGTTCCACCCTAGAGTAACCAGCCAAAGAACAATAAACGGCTTGTCCATCTGTGTTACAGATTTGTCGCAAACTAAATGGTATTCGTTTCACCTGTTGTAAAAGTGCCAAAGACAGGACGTCGATGTCAGTGACGCTTGAACAGTGCTCCATCCTGAGAGACGAGCACCAGCTGCACAAGGACTTCTTCATCCGAGCACTGGACTGCATGAGAAGGTATCCACTTGGCTTTCACTTCCTTTCTTTTAAAATCATTTTAAGGTTTTTGTTGTTCTTTTGTTTGTTGGTTGGTTTGTTTTGCAAATGCATGTTTTACTGGAGAACTAACCACTTAATAACTTCACTGCATTTCCATGGCTTTTCACTCATGACATGAAAGATAATGTACTTTTAAATATTCCCCAGACTCATTTTAGGCAGTAGAAGAGAATCTGGCTACATTTTTACAATATACATGGAGGTTCTATCTCATCAACTCATTTAAATCTAAGTGAACAGACTGTTGTTTTTATCCTATATAGCACTTGAAGAGGACAGTTTCTTTATATCTGAGTAGTTATGAATACACACAAAATAAAACTAAGTCATTACCCAAAGAAAACCTTTCCAAATTGCAACTAACAGGTGATCTTCCCGTGAGTTGCAGGGTCTCCAGGTTGGTAGCTCCTTCCTAAAATTATTTTGATATCACTTATCATTAAGACGGGATGACACTGATACTTTCAAATAGAGAAGTCACATTGTTACTCTGCTGGCATTTAAAATGCAGTGCCTGAAGTCATGTTTCTTGATTCATTTCCACAGTAATTAAATCTAAAGTCTAAGCCATAATGGGAAGGGAAAAGTACCCCATTCACAATGTCTGTCAGCAAGGACACACGTTAATTAAAAAGTTAAACGAAATAGTCTCTTTGCTGCAGACCCTGATTCAGAAGCACACCAGGAAGCGTGGGACAGGCTCCTGGTTCCCAGGAAGGAATGCCATGTGACCCTCTGGACGGGGCTGCTTCAGATCTGCCATGTCATTAGCTTCCCCTTTTCTTTTAACTGCTGTAGTCTTCTAGTGGAGACTTTGCCGCTTTCTGTGTCTATGTGCTTTCCCCACTAATGAGAGGTTTCGGAAGTCCTCGATTTTACCCCATTCCATGTCTCTGGGCATTTCCATTGTTAGGTGGAGTTCTATCATAATTTTTTTATAGATGTAGGAGGATGTCTTTGAGGCCTGACATGAACATCTGAGCCATATGAAACACATTGGGTTGACAAAAAAAAAAAAAAAAAAAAACTTCTTTCAAAAATAATCTCTCTTTTCAAAAATAATCTACCAGTGCTAATGGGGGAAATTCAGAATCAGGGTATGAAACCATCTAAGGTGCATAGAAAGAGTAAACGTGTCACTGTGGATGAGCAAAAGGGCTGGAGGGGAGAGCAGAAACACAGGATATTTATAGACCAGAGACAACAAAGGACTCAAGTGATCCAAGCAACATAAATTATCTTGAAGAGGAAACTGTTATTTATTTAAGGGGGCAGTAATGGTTATTTTCAACAATATTTCCCAGTGTCCAGGATGTTGGGAAGGGAGAGGATTTGCAAAGCTTCTCTGTCATGTGGGGAGCCCCACCCTCCAGTGACTTTAAAATGCACACCAGGATCACTGTTTTAAAGGAGTTTAATTTTCATGGTTTTGAATGGATTGAAGTTTTTTATTTTATTTTATATCTGTTGCAATTTATTTTACCTTTGATTATTCTAACCACCCTTCAGGCTATTTTGTCTGTATTCACTTAGAGTTTACCAAGGTTATAATATCACTGCTTTCTTACTTTCATTTTTTCCTCATCTTATCTTTTCTCATTTTATTGTGTTTATCGCTGTAAAAGTTTCAAGTTATTCTATATAGGTGAGCAAAATGTTGTTGATAAAAAGAAATGAAGCTTCGTCTACCTGCTTATTCAGAAACCCCATGCCAGAATAAGCTCCATGAGGAACGATATTTCTGTTTTCCCTTGCTCTCTGCAGTAAGGCTGTACCTAGAACAATGCCTAGTGATAGTGGGTTCTCAATAAGTATACTATGAATGAGTGAACAAATGAATGAATGAAGTTTAGGTTCTATATACTAGGAAGTTTTGTTCACACATAGACATTCGGAATTAAACACATCAAGTTATCTTTCAATTATGACATATTTAATAAGCAAAAGTTCCATCAGATGAAAGTGAGAGTTTGGAGAAGTTATGATACAAAAGCAAAACAGGCTACAAATGGCCTACCTTAAGTCGAAGTCTGGATCCACCCTTTGTACAGCGTTCAAATGTTCACTCTCTATTTTCCTACACATCCAGTACTTCCTTGCAGCTGCACACTCCCGCCATCAGCCTCTAGTTACAATCTGTTTGACTGAAATGGAAGAAGACGGTCTTCTTCAGACTAGATCTGACTCTGTAAGGAGCTCCTAGGAGTTGCCTGCATTGCCAGACCGAAACAATGAGTCTCAACCCTCATTGCCTATTTGAAACCCCTGGGGCTGGAGGGGAGCCTCTGGGATGGAGCCAGGGTGGAAACCACCTGACTAAAGCCAGCCTCACTGAAACCTGATGCCCTTCAGTAACTGCTTTTAATGGCTTTGTGGTAAAACTATAAGCTTAGTCTCCATTCCCTTTCTTTGAGTTGTGAGGAGTATGTATATTGTCAAATTCTCCCTTAATCATCTACAGCAGAAATTTATAACATGGTGGCTGCATAATCAGCAGATATTTTTCTTAAAGAAAGGGAGAATGCAGTACCAGCATTCAATTTTCAGTTATGAACTCTCCAGTGAATGCCATCTTGTCCCAGTGCATTAGCAGAAAACATTTTCGTAGGAATTTTTAAATATATTTGATTAATAAATGATTAGAATTGGGATGAAAATACAAAATTTGAATGGAGTGTAAAATGTCATGTTTTATCCCAAAATAATTGTGTTGGGAAATGTAATTGGCACTAAAAAGTAAATTAAAATGAACATGCCGATGTATAGTTATTTCTCTTGTAGGATGTCTGGCATTATGTGTTTAAACAGTGTAACATGTGACACCATATTCCTTAGTTGTCTGTCTGTAACTTTTATTTTCCTCAAGCTACATTACGCTGCAATCTGTCATTTTATAATGGCTGCTTAAAATTAAGATAGCTGATATGTCATTAGTAAAATTAATCAGGGAACATTACAGCCGACAACGTATTTATCACCCTTAAGATACAGGGATTTAATCATTCTATTTTAGTAAACAGTTAAGTCATAGGAGAGAGACTAAAAGGCCCATCAGCCCTATTGAATTTTATTATCTTGTTGAAATTCATGTTCTCAACATGTTGCACCTGACATTTTTATGTTGGGGCAGCATAATTTATTTAATGTTCTGCTTTATAAATGAGTGACCCTTCATCAGTTGATATCAGTTAAGGTTTTATGTTTTTATTTCTCATGTCTTCTTTGTCGGTATCACTTTTGTGTTGAAATAGAAAAATGTATTTCTTCTTTCCTTAGTCTTATTTCCACTCCAGCTTATTTTTATTTGCTTTTGTTTGATTGGACTAGACAGAAAAGAGCTGCTATTTTTCCACATTACCCCCTATTTCAAATATTAAAGTGAATAATAAGCATTGTAGACACAGGTAATTGAAGCTTTCAGTTATTTCTTGACTACTTGAAAGGGAGGTGTTTGCGTAGAACAGCATCAGCAGGAACAGTTTTTCCATTATCACTAAGTGTTATCTCTCCCCTTGAGAATTCCAGTGGTGTGTTTGCTGCGTTGCTTTAGTTCATATCTGTGACAAATAACAGTAATAAGTCCAAATGGAGTCACTGTCATCTTAGGGTAGCTAATAATTACATAAAAAATGACCCCATTTAGGATATTTTTGCTTCAGCTAACACTAAGGTAAAAGATACTGCAAAGAATACACTTCTTTAGAAATAATATTGGAGCAAGTAACTCTTAACAAGAGATCCACAGATGAACCACCAACAGATAACTGATCTTACAGGAGTGATTAAAATAACGTGAAACAAACTTTCAACTTCCAGAACTAAATGGATGTGCTAAGTTTAGGTAATCTTCTGCATACATTTATGTTTGTCATATTATTTTACAACCAAAAAACTGGTTTAGCCACGCTGGTATGGATCAGTCAGTTGGGCATCGTTCTGTGCACCAAAAGGTTGCCAGTTCGATTCCTGGTCAGGGCACATGCCTGGGTTGCAGACTAGATCCCCAGAAGGGGCATGCAGAAGGCAGCCAATTCATGTTTCACTCTCACATTGATGTTTTTCTCTCTCTCCCTTCCCCGCTTCCTAAGAAATCAATAAAATGTTATTTAAAAAGTAGTGGTTTTGAGGTTGATTTCTTCTCCCTAAGTCATTTGGTTTAGAATATTTGTTTTCTAAGTATTAGTAAGACCCAGTATCAAGCATGTCATCCAGAGGAGCTGCCAACTTTATATGCAGCATTCCAAATAAGTCATTTCTTTCCATTCCTGAAATTATGAACTGAAGACCTCGCCATATAAGTGTATGGAGTATATGTTTTTTATTCAATTCAATGAAGTAAAATATAAATAAAAATGCACCTAGTTAAAATAAATAGATTTAACTTCTGCCAGAAACACAGGCTTTCAACATCGGGAAAACCTGGGGTTAAAAATCCATATTGAAACACTTATTATCTCTGCACCTTTGGACAAGTTAATTAATCTCCAGGCCTCAGTTTTCCAATCTGTTCACTAGGATAACAATATCTTTCTGTTCTGTAGGTGTTGTCCAATGAGGTCACTTATTTAAAGGCTCTGTGCTCAGGTGTTCTGCTTAATCTGTTCCCCGTGCTCCCCATGCTGTCCCCATCTCTGTCTACCCTGAGCATTCTTCCCTTTCCCATGTTTCTCTGGAAGTACCTCTTCTGAAACCCCTAAAATGGAGGGATTTCACTGGTCTTCAAGGTCTTAGAAGTCCCAGGATACATACTTGGTTTCTAAAAGGCTTAAACTATCCATGATTATGTGAGAGAAGGTCTGGGAATCAAGAAGTAAAGTGAGCTTGAAACATGGGGTTATCTGTGGTCCACCGATAACAGGGCCGTCCCACTCATGCAGTGGAACCTGTGGTTGTCCAGCTCTTGAGTGCCCACAGACTTCGTTGGCAATTTAGGATATCCACTACATAACGAGTCAGGA